GCTTCCCCGACCGGGCGTCTGCGACCGCCGACGCGCTGTAGGCGGTGTACTTGCCCCGCAGCAGCCGCTTCATCTGCTTGTTGAGCATGCGGTCGAGCGGTTGGAGCAAGGGCGTCAAGCCGCCTGGGATAAAGATTACGATGGTGTTTGNCGGCGTGCTGCTCCTCGAGAAGGTCGCGGTAGTCTTCCCCGAAGTTGTGTTTGCACCAGGCGTGGTCTTCGCTGTCGTCGAGCGCGAGCGTGAGACCGCAGTTCTTGAAGCAAGTCTTCACCGTGTCGGGGGTGGTGGACTCCCACGCTTCCTTGCACCACGTAGAGACGACCCCACGCTCCGGTGGCTTCAGCTTCCCCGACCGGGCGTCTGCGACCGCCGACGCGCTGTAGGCGGTGTACTTGCCCCGCAGCAGCCGCTTCATCTGCTTGTTGAGCATGCGGTCGAGCGGTTGGAGCAAGGGCGTCAACCCGCCCGGGATGAAGATTACGATGGTGTTGGCGACTCTCTTGAGGGCGGCGATGAAACCCTCGTCCTTGTGGCACTTGAAGTCATCCAGCACCAGGATGCACGGGCGCTGCTGGACGATGCTGCCGTTGTTGGGACGGAGCTTCCAGCTACCCGAGATCCACCCGTTGCACTCCCGCTGGTCACTCCAGCTCTTCTTCTGCACGCCGAAGGACATGCCGTTGACAGAGTGGCCGTGCTTGGCGCGGTTCGCAGGATGGATCTCCCACGCGACGAAGTTCTTCCGCGGCAGGGTGCTCTTGCCCTTGCCGCTCACGGTCGGGGGGATGAACGTCGTGCCCTTGAAGATGATGCGCGGCAAAACCTTGTTGCCGTCCGCCATGACAGCCAGAACGAGCGTGAAGCGTTCCTTGTCTTTGCCTTAGTGGAGGGGGGAAAAATCAACGCGAGGGGAGGGGGGTGGGGGGAGTAGAGTGTTGAATATTTCTGCGAGGACAGCGGTGTGTGGTTGATACAATGGATGCAAACGACGGTACCGGACGTTTCGAAAACTATGTTGGTTGATAGTTTGGATGCAATGAAAAACGAAGTGTAGAATAATCCCGCAGAAAAAGGTAGCAACCCTCCTGTGTCTACCGATAGAGCTACATCGCACCGTGCACCGGCACGCAAAAAAAAAAGATGTGTCTTGAAAAATTGTCCGACGACAAAAATCCGCACAACACACAAACTTTTGACAAAAATATTTGCTCGCCGTCACCTCCTGTGCTGATGCGAGCATTCTTCGCACCGGTCTTCTCCAGAGTGGTCTCCACCGGCATCTCGTGCTGGACTGGCGTCTGGTCCATGTTGCCGAGTTCCTCGAAAACCTCCGCCTCCACAGACGCCAGCTGCTCGGAAGTCAGAGCCTCCCCTTTGATGAGGCTCTCGTCAGGTGCCGGCGGGTGGCGCCGAGCGTAGATCTCGCCGGCGCGCTTTACGAGAGCCTCGCGCAGCTTCATCACCGTCGCCCACGCCATAAACTCGTACCCCTTCGCCAGTTTCTGGCCCACGCTGGTACGCCGGCGGATGCTGAACCCATTCCGCTTGCGGAACCGTTTGTACCAGGAGTTGAATTTGACCTTGAAAGCCAGCGCCTCCTCCGGTTTCGCATTCGCCGGCATCCCGCCAAGGGCGTCGGACTTCAGCTCGAGCAGCTTGTTCATCACCTCCCGATTACCACAACNTCTGGTCCATGTTGCCGAGTTCCTCGAAAACCTCCGCCTCCACAGACGCCAGCTGCTCGGAAGTCAGAGCCTCCCCTTTGATGAGGCTCTCGTCAGGTGCCGGCGGGTGGCGCCGAGCGTAGATCTCACCGGCGCGCTTTACGAGAGCCTCGCGCAGCTTCATCACCGTCGCCCACGCCATAAACTCGTACCCCTTCGCCAGTTTCTGGCCAACGCTGGTACGCCGGCGGATGCTGAACCCATTCCGCTTGCGGAACCGTTTGTACCAGGAGTTGAATTTGACCTTGAAAGCCAGCGCCTCCTCCGGTTTCGCATTCGCCGGCATCCCGCCAAGGGCGTCGGACTTCAGCTCGAGCAGCTTGTTCATCACCTCCCGATTACCACAACCACGGTGCTGCTTGCGCTGCTCGTTGATGTAGTCCACAAGGGCTTGTTCGGCGTCGACTGTCGAAGCTTTCCCTCCGCTGTGAACCTGCTTGGCCTTCGAAAGCTTGGGGTTGGCGCTGACCTTCTCCCTGAGCTGCTCTTCCTGCTTCAGCCACTCGATGATACGCTTCCGAGGCACCTGGAGAACTTTCGACGCGCCGTTGTTTCCCACCGGTTGACCGTCGCACGGGCAGATCTCCTGTGTGTAGGCCGCTGCGTTCAGTTTGAACCGGATGGGGTAGCTCCCTTTCCCTCCCACTGCTCCTGACCTCTCGATCGGGGAGTTGGGCTACGGGTACGCGTGTTTGCCGTTGCTGTTTTTGACGGGGTCGTTGGCGGCTAGCATCTCATCGATGGCCTCGCCGGTTGCCTCCGGGTCCGCAGCGGCAGCTCCCTGATCCGCACAGGAAGGACCGCCAGCACTAGCCTGTGAGGCCTGTGAGGCCTGTGAGGCGTCGGCAGGTCCCGCGCTTGCACCCTCCGACATCGTAGCCGCGCGTTGCGTGTGGTCGAGCCCACAGCTCCGTCCCGGGCATTTTCCCGATATTCCGCATGTATTTCTCCGCCACGGAACTGTTGTGGTGGCAATTCCCCGAGACTCGTTTGTGTGTGCAGCTACTAGCTTGTCTGTTGGTTGTGTTGTGATCGTGTTGCAGCAATACCATACACGCGAAGTGCTGCTATCCCCTGTGGTTTTCAATGTTAGGATCGCACATATCGGGGTCTTGGCACAGGGGTGCGCGTTGTTTCTTACTTCTGTAGAACCAAAATATTTACTGCATTTCCACACAGGTATCGCGAACTTGGCACATATCGGGGTCTTCGTACACCTGTGCGAAAAAAGTTTGAAGTTCGAAACATATAAAAAAGCGACCGCACACCGCACAGTGTGCCAAGACCCCGATGATTACGATAACCCGACGATGACCTCCGGCCACCGCAGTCCAAGCTTGACGTACGTAAGCTGGCGGGGCGGGTGCACAAGAAGACCCCACCTCCCGACGAGATGGAATGATGGGAGAACAAGAAGGCACCTCCTCGCAGCCGCGCGCCTCCGGGCGATGTATTGCACCACAGCACCTGCTGAGGTTTGCTGAAGATGCGGCGCTCGCGGCTGCTTCTGCTGCTATGGAGCCCGTTGTGTGGTGTGCCAAAAGTGTGGACGTTCTCTTGTCGTACGAGTGTGCCGACGTGGTGACTGCTACACAACAAAGCTCCTTCCCTCGAGTAGACCAACGTTTGGGGGTAGTATGGTTTCGGTTCGCCCAACTCGGGTGTGTGTGAGCTATTTTGATTGTGTTTCCGCGCTTTTCAGAATATTCGTCCGCGAAGAGTGCAGCTTCCTGGACTACACGGTATCCGTCAGCATGTTCAGCCACACCGCGGGTCGTGTGGTTATTGCCAGACTCCAGCTCTTGGTCTCGGAGCGATGTCTGGGTGTGAATTTCTGGTGAATGCGACCCGGCGGTCTCACCGGCCGAAGGCTGAACACTCACCATGATGTAGATAAATAGAAGCTTACGATATTAGGTGAAAGAGGTCGAAATATTGGTTGTCATGGATTCGACCCGCTATAGCATGTTTCTAGAGGACAATAGGCGATATTACAGGGGCTCCGATATCAGAGAGTCGAGCGCCTTTGTCACGCCACCCTCGCTTGTCGGAAGCACGACTGCTGTACTGCGCTTTCCCGACGTGAGCATACGGAATCTCTATCGGCGGGGTATGAATTATTGTGTGTTGCACATTCGTACGTCTTGTGCCATGCCTAAGGTACGCGAGGGCATCTACATGCGACAGAAGGCGAGGCAGCGGCATGTGAGCCTGGCGACAGGCAGAGCCAGGACAGACGTCACTTGTGTATTTTTAATGTTAAGATGCAAGATATTATTGTATTTTATCAGCGAAATACCGCCTTCGTTCATGATAACACTGGCCTCCAAAAAAGCCTTCCCGCGACCAACCAACAAAACCATGGGCAAGCCTGAGTTCCTTCGTTAGTAGATAGTACTTGGTTGTTGCAACTCGGTGCATGCGTGAATGTTTCCGGGTGCTTGTGTACAGGGCGTTGGTCATCGTACGTTACGTACCTTGACGTCGCCAATCCCCCGCCACGGGAACAAGGCAACATCCGACAGGTAGCACGGCCGTCAGCGCAGCAGTCTTCGGCACAATGTCAAACAACCCCGTTTCGCCTTGAGGTTTGGCGTACACATGTATGGCTGATATGTCTTCCCACATAAATCAACAAGAGGGCCGTCGTGCGTTTTCTCACGCGCTCTTGGTACGTAGGCGGCGGCTTTCTGATGATGATGACCGTTGCGAGGCGGGGGGGATTCTCCTGGCCTGGAAGGAGAGGGGTCCAGGGCGCCGTCTCTATCGCGGATGCCCTCTCGATCGGGGATACGGATGAGGTCGACCCGGACCTCCAAGATCGTCGGTTACGGACGACAGTGTGAGTTTTCTACGCGGTGTAATGCCGGCGGCGGCGTTGTTTTAGCCCTTGCGTGCTGGGTGGTAGTGGTGCTCGTAAGAGCGATGATGGAGCAGGCTGGTGGCGTTTGGCGAGGTTTACAGCAATCAGATGCGAAGGACGGTGCGAGTTGATGATATTGGTGCTACATAGCTGTGATTGCAACCCAGAAAAAGATGGGCGAGACGACGTGGGCTGGCAATGTGCCGTTCCCAAAACGCAAAGAAGTAAAGAAATAGAAGTACAACCAAAAGACATGAACACACCCCGAGAGCCATGCTTCGGACTAGTTCTTGTGTGCGGGGCCCCGCTGTAAGAGAAGTAGACGTTGAACGTATCTAGGTTGAGCGTATCTAGTGGGGGGATTCACCATTTGGGATGACGACGTGAGTTTATTACATATGGCTCAGTGAGTTTGTCGTAAGCATATACAGCAATGGGTTTCGGTGGGCCGGGGTGGCGGACTTCGGGCGGGGCGACTCTTGTTGCCTTCACTGACATGACATGACAGGGCGCACAACACACCCTTGTCGCTTCCCTCCCCCCCTTTCTGTAATTTGTTTTCCTATCTTCGATGTAGTTATAGTCTGTATCTCGCGCCCGCTCACCAACATACGCGGCCATCCTGTTGGGATAGCCCGTGGAGTAAAGAACGAGTTACTTCGCGTGTTTTGACCTGCCCTAAGAAGAGGCATGCTCTCATTGGTCAGCTGGTTGGTGCTGTCGACGCGAGATCAAGAGAGAGACCCACGCACAGATGGTTGCCTTTGGGAGCAATTTATATTTCAACTGCACCAAGACTGACGTCTTTTCATTGGTTAGCCGGTTAGCGCGGTCGATGCTTATAAGAAAACACTTCACCATGCTCTTTGTGTGTCCATTCATGCCGACTCGCTCTTTGCCTCCGGCTGTGCAGGAAATACCTCGCATTCCAGGCGGCGCCTCACACAGTCACGGACCTTTTGGAGCTCAAATCAGACTTCTTGCTGGAGGAAGGCAAAGGCCAACTCGCAGACGTGACGGTGAGTTATACGCGGGGGGCCTATTTCCCGCTGGCTGATAAAGCGGCTGGTTTTGTGTGTGTGTGCCTGAGAGCGCGGCAGTAGCGTGGTATCTCTCGCTCCTCCTAGAAGGTTTGAGCTGGGTGTATTCGACTGTGCCCCCGATCAGAGGATCGATGTGCCCGAGTTGAGACAAGGCTACTATCGCCATAATCTTGTTGACTTTGCCCGGTGTTGACAGAAGGAGGCAGGCTTCCGAAAATCCAGGCGTTTTCACCAGCGAATGCATAAGAGAGGTGGTCTACCACCGTAGCTGACAGCAACGTGCCTGCGCAACATCTCTTTCGGCAGTTGCTGACGCGAAAGAAAACTCTGGATGTGGCGATGCTTTAAACAGACTTGGTCGTACTGTTGGGGGGGCGAAGACGGCAGCGACATTGGCTAGGGTGCGTGATCGTGCCGCCATGAATGATGCCGGCGGTGCTCTGATAATCAGCTGTGCGACCGGTCGACGCTCGTCCTCTTGCCTGTTGCGCCCCGTGTTGACGCCTGCCTTCTTGTTTATGTTTTCTGACGCACTCTCTCAGGCGATACTTATTGCTTCTCCTTCGCTGGAGGCGCAATTGGAGGCGTTGTTGGTCAGTGCCGTCCAGCCCTGTCAGGTGAAGGGCAAGAAGGGGAGGGGGGGGCGTACTCTTGTGTTGTGCATGCCGTAGCGGCTAGACCATTGACCACGCGTCCTCCAGAGGACGGAGCATGGTTCTCGCAGGACCGATCGCCGATAGCCCATCGTTCCTTCCTACTGTAGTTTGCAATGGGTGGCTCCAAAATGTTTCCCCTATTTAGTCTATCCTATCGTTACGTGGGGGGGAAAGTGTACTGCCTTTAGAGCAACTTGGAAACACAGCGATGTCGTAGGCTGAAGTGGTTGGCTTGCGCTACTCAGGGAGTCAAGGCTGGCATCACTATCAATTTTCCTTAGTGCCGATGAAGAGTTTGCTTAAAAGCTCGTGCCGGGGAAAGCTTTGGTTGGAATGAGGCATGGTTTGTGCCCGTCCTATAAGGCCAGCGTACTTGCGGTAGCATTGACTCTTTCGGCGGCCCGTCGAGATTACCCCCAGAAGTAAACACAGAACAACGGCAATTGGGTTGTTTAGTGAGAGTACGACAGCGTTCAACTCTGCTTCGGTGGCCTACCCCTGCCCCCCCCCCCAACCT